AACAGTTGCAGTTACATATTGAAAAAGCCACGTCGGCCATAAGAAGGAGTTTTGCATTATCCAGAAATTAAAAGAGTACAAAATGCAAAAAACAGAAAAAGAAGGAAAAAGGTACAAAAGACATTTTTTCAAGATTCTTCAGTATTAGCCGCTGCTAGGACTGGGACCTCGGACGATTCTGGTGGAACCTCCTCGGCAACCCTTTCTGCTTCAATCTCAGCATCAATCTCAGCCAGCGTATTATCCACATTTCTTTCGGCCAAAAGAAGGTCGGATGATAGTTGCCCGATGGCAATCTCCTTAGGTGCCTCCCCAACCTCATCACCCTCCTCATCCAGGGTTAGATCCATAACTTGCTCAGCAGGAGGAAGGGACTTGGCTTCAACAGCATCCTTGGGTCTCCTCACCAAGGCTTCATCTTCATTTTTTTCTCCATCCTCATCCTCGACATCGGCCTCAGTCTCTGATTCGTTTTCAGCCTGACTTGGAGGAGGAAATGGTAAGGGGATGGCATTAGCATTCCGAAGGGGCGAGTCAACAGGAAGATCAAGCTTCTTTATCAGGGACATCCAACCAAGGGAAAATCCCCTGTTGAATGCCTGCCTGACTTGAAGTTTGTAGTCTTCTGCGACGTCGGCCATGCCTTGAGCATAGTCCTTTTCATCGGCCTCTTTGACTTCGGCCTCTTTGGTGGCCAGAGCCTGCTGGAGTTCTTTCTCCGCTTGAGCCTTCCTAGCCTCAGCCTCTCTTTTCTCGGCTTCAGCTACTTTTTTAACGGCTTCAGCAGCCTCGGCCTTCTCAAGAGCTAAAGTTTGAACTTTAGTTGCAGCCTCGGCTTGATCCTCCAGTTTTTTCATTTTTGCTTCAAGGGCCTTTATCTCTCTCTTCATTGAAGATGCTTCCCTCTTCATATCAACCAATCTTTGACGATTTTCAAAGGATTGCATTGAAAATGAATGGGCGTGTTGGATAGCCTGGATGAAAACAGAAGTGTCAGAAAATTTTCTCAGAAAGAAACAAAAGGAAAAAACACAAATACAAACAGAAATACTTACATGAACAGAATGTTGGAGCATAAGAGCATAATTCTCATACTCACTAAGCTTAGCATTTCGCTCCAAATCATTTGGAATGAGAAGAGCTGTGCTAAGGGCGACACCAACGTTAATATCGTCGGCACTTTCACTGGCCATGATAGGCCTGTCCTCCAGGGTTAGTTCAGGAGCCCATGGAACATCGGGCTTCTTTGACGCCGAGGTCGTCGCAGACGATGACCTTGGCCTCTTTGTTTGTGTAGACCCTGAGGGTTGGCCCTCAGCAGACCTCTTGGTTGAAGTAGAGGCTGATTTTTTGCTTTCTGCTAGTTTAGAAATCGGCAAAGCATCCTCAGCCTCGGCATCTGTAGCCTTGGCCTTAGGCTGAGCCTTTTTAACTCTCTTTGGTTTGGGTGGGAGCATTGATTGCGTTGGTGCGGCTTCGGCGTCAGTTGGAAGATCGGCGAGAAGGTCTTGAACGACAAGCCTTGGACGAACCATTTCGGCAGTCTTTATAAGCCTTCGTCGACGTTTACGTTCAGGAATTGGTATTAAGTAGGGGGGCGAAGTTGATGGAAGACCGGGTGGGTCAGATGTGGACTCTTGATCTGTTCGGGATGTAGAAGCAGTTAAGGTTGTGGCTGTGGGTGGAGAAAGACTCTTCTTCCTTTTTCTTGGGACGTCGGGTAAAGTGGATTTGTATGTAGGGATGAAGTTTAGTAACAGTGGGGCCTTTCGTTTATGGATTGGAAGGTTGAGGAGTGTTTTTAGATCTGTTCCTGGGAAGAAGGATTGACGAAAATTTTTCGGTGGCTGATGAAGATCTGCAGGACAAAGAAACAGACGTCAGAAACAAAAAAAGTATTAAGGACTTAAATAAAAACAACTAAGTGTTGACTCAGGGCTCTTACTCTTGCCCTCTGTAATTGTTCAAGGAAGAGGGTAGAGGTGGACATCTTCATCTGGGCCAAATTCTCAATTTCCAGAAGCAATGAGAAAAACATCTCCAGCCCCCTTGTTGGAGTCTGGGAGGTCGGCTATAATTTTGTACTGAGTGGATCTCGGCTTAAGGTAATAGACAAAACCCCTATCCTTCAGATCAAGAGGGCACATTGTATAACAATATTGAAGGTCGACTAGGGTGATTCTAAGGTTTTCTTGCCTAGCTAAGGTAATAATACCGTTAATTACCCTATATGAATTGATAGTAAGTTGCATGGGGTTCAGCTTATAGAAATGGAGAACTTGACGAAAAAGGGGATCAAGAGGAAGCCGAAGTCCACATTCGGTAAAAGCAACTATTGGAAAAGGCATTGTATGGTCTGTGGGCACGATGGTATCATTATCCCCAGCCAGCTTAAGGTGAACGTCGGCTGGGATAGAGAATTCTTGCCTAAAGTATTCAAGTTTTGTTGGGGTATTTACCCTATGCCTCCACATACCCATTATGTCGGCTTAAACTAAGAGGAATATGTTTCAGAAAATGGGCGTTTTTCAGGTTTCCCTAAAGATTAAGGGTTCTACAGACAAATCCCAAATCTATGAAGTATGAAGATAAAAATCGAGGGCACAGATCTGGGGCAGACACAAAAAAAGAGAAAACAAAAACGAAGTTTCAGATTCAAAAATAGAGGTATAGTTCTCAGAAACAATAGAGATATAGAAACAAATCAAAAACAGCGGTAAAGAGAATGATGAAAAAGCATAGAAGTCCAAGGTATAGCCACAAATTCAAGATACGAATAAATCCAAGACCTCGAACAAGATCAGTAATGGCAACAGACAGACAAAAGCACATAAAGAGAATGGAAGAAGTAAAGGAAAGGGTCTTACCAGGACAAATAAAGCCAAGGCAATGCTCGCCGAACCCAGAAATTGGTTGCAACAGCAAAAGAAGGCTTTGCAAGGGAGAGGGATTAAGCGCAGTTCCAGAAGAGAGACTGAAGCGATGGCAGATTCAAAGAAGAATGAGCTTTCAGAGAGAGAAAGAGCAAGAAGACGGAATGAAAAAGTGAAGAAAAGATAGAGGCAAGAGAAAAATTTTGTCAAAAATGTGAAACAGCGGCAAAATTAGGGCAATCATTACGCCTAGGGTAACGTACGCGTCAGACGGCGCAGACGAACGAACAGACAGCTTCAGGCGCGTCACTGACACGCTCCAATAAAGACGAAACACGTAAAAGAAACAGTTAGATATGCATGTAATAGAACCTAGGGGGCAGTTGTGAGGATATATTTTCTGAATACCAACACGTGGCATAGTGACGCCGACGTGTCAACCGAGGTGCCACGTGTCGTGGTAGTTAAGCCGAGAAGATATCGGAGTTGCTGAGGTTATTCCCGAAGATATCGGAATCCGAGATAAGCAGATAAGGGATAAGAGTCTTAAGACAAAGAGGGGACTTAACCAAGATAAAACTCTTAAAGGAATTTTTCTTTATCTCTTAAAGAGTCCAAAGTAAGCACTAAATTGGAGTTCATAGAAGTCATACTTCTAGTAGGATTTGGGTTGAGTATATTATAAAAGAGAAGCACCCCCGTGGGTCTAAGGTATGCTTTTTGATACTCAAGCTTGTGAGTTTAGTACTTGATTATCTTTGAGAGATATACTGACTTGATCGTAGGAGTGCCCCCGGGTGGAAGAACCACCGCCGGAGCTTTTTCTTTCTATTTCAGGTTGCTTAAGCCATCTATTCTGCTTGTGCTCTCCAGTTGATCACTCCCGGGTGGAAGAACCACCGCCGGAGCTTTTTCTTTCTATTTCAGGTTGCTTAAGCCATCTATTCTGCTTGTGCTCTCCAGCTAATCACTAAACGGACAGTGTGGTCAGATTTTCACCCACACAAGTAGTTTATATATTCAATTTTAAAATTACAAGGTAAAGTGAGAGATTCAATGATAATTGAGGGGTAAAGAATAATCAACCCTATAAAAAATGCTATTAACACATTATTTTGATAAATAATTCTATAAAAATTCTAAATGAATTGCATTTACCAATTCAAAATATAATTGTCATTTTATGAAGTCAAGAGTAACAAATTTTAGGAAGTAAAGATATAAAAATAGTTGGGTCTAGTGGGCACAATTTGGGCCTGAGGGTGTAGACCCTGTAGGTCTTAGGTAGGGATGGCAAAATATATTGATCTGTCAGGTCCCTGACTTTCCTCGATCCTAATGGGATTATGAGATGGGTTCAGGCGTGGTTGAATAGGGTATGGTTGGATTTGGAGAAACTTATAAAAAAAATTCGACTTGATTTGAGTTGGGGGTGGGGAAGAATATTTTTTACTCGAATCCTATCCGACCCGTAAATGTAGTAACAAATAAATAATATGTATAATATATTGTTGAATTTTTATAAAATATATATAATATCTATACAATATATTATTGTGTTTCTATTATGTTACATATAATATAATTTTAATATATGTACAATATATAATATATTATTTTAATTATAAATGTAATTTTCTAGCTTTAATAAATTATTATTAAATTTCTAATTGAATTATGGGCCGAGGGTGGGTGTTACATTTGTGAGTTTGGGTTGTGGGGGAGAGTTTCACAAGAGTCGGGTCGGGGTGGGGATAAGTAGCAAATATTGGGGTGCGAGAGTGGGGGTGGGGGCTTCAACCCATGCCATATCTATTGCCCCATCCCTAGGTTCAATATTCACTAGTTGAAACAAGTTCTTTGGGCCTAGTTCATATAAGGCGTTTGCTTTGGTCTTGTAAATAGGCGGTAAGATTAGTCTCTCGGAATTAGTCGATGTGATAGAGTTAAAACTCATGACGATGTTTCTTAAATCCTATTTAATTAGCCAAAATGTTAAAAAGTTTAAAAAAATTAAAATACCACATTAAAAATATCAATTAATCATTTTTTTCACTTACAATTATCAATTCAACTAAAAAATCATTTCAAAATACACTAAATTTTTTCATTTCATAACAAAAACTCTAAAAGAATAATTTTTTCCAATTAAAAATTTAATAGCCAAATTGAGTCATTTGGTCCACACACACCAACCACAAGCCACCAAGGACAAAAACATCATTTTATATAGACAAAAACAAAAAGTATCAGAGGAAGAACAAGAAGACATTCAAACAGGGATGGCTGTTGTATCCAGCAGCCCTTCTCTTGAATTGTCCGGCCGATCCGCCACCGCGTGCCGCCTCAAAACCGGCAGCTCCACCGGAGCCCGACAAACTGGGCAATCAAAGTGAGAAAAAAGCCACATATCAATACAAGCAGCATGAAAAGAGTGGTTGCACCTAGGCAACTGCCTCACCTCTTCACCCTCTTCAAAAACAGACAAACAAACAGGGCACTCATACTCGTACCCTTGATCTTGAGCCCCTCCTTGCTCTTTCTTGTATTTAAAACTTCCCACCAAGTGTATATTAGGGTTGTCGAAACTCCGGCTCGATATGGGTTCTAAGGTTCTGACCAATCCCTCGGGGCGGCGGCGGCGTTGGTGGTGGTGTTCGGCGCACCACTTTATGATGATGAGGTTGTAGATGGCGAGGACAACGGCGGCGGTGCCAACTACCGCTAGGCCATAGTAGAGAACGGGCATGTTGGGCTTGTGTGGGGGAGGTGCTGAGGGAGGTGCGAAAGAGTTTGGAACATCACCCACAATATTTTGGTTTTTGTATGAGGTTAAGGGTATATGTAGAGAGAAGTCAAGAGAATTCTGTTCATTTATTTATTTATTCATATGGAAAATTGAGTTTATCTTAAAGGATTGGATTATTTCCATGGTATCACTTTGATGATTTAAATCATTTATTTTGTAATTTTTTGTGTGTAGATCAATCAGAAAAATAAATTAATCCGATATTTGTAATCATATAACTTTATTATATTTTTTTTTTTTTGGGTACATATTATATTTATTTTCAAAATAGATTTTTTAACAGATAATATTAGCTAACAACATGAGAAGTTAGAGCATCTCCAACGGTGAATCAGATTTTTCACCAAATTTGAGTAAAAAATGACCCATTTTACCAATTTGATACCACTCGCTCCAACGGTACACTTTCATCAAATTTGTGTCGGGGTCAACCGGTTGGTCGACCGGTTAAGCGAAAAAAAAAATTTTTTTTATTTTTTATTTTTTTTTAAAACTTTTTGAACCTTTTAGTGGTCGACCGGCTGGTCGACCGGTTAGACAAAAAATTTTTTTTTTTTTTTTTTCTTTTTGAACCTTTTCTTCGAACCGTTTGAACCTTTAGGCGGTCGACCGGTTGGTCAACCGGCCGGGCAACCTGCTGGTTGACCGGTTGGTCTCTCCCAACGGTTAGGAACAGTGATTTGGTAAAATGCTTCGCCTGTTCTCATTTTGGTAAAAGATTTGCTGAATTCTGGATTTGATATCGATTTGGTGAAAACGTTGGAACTCAAAAAAATGACTTTTTCATCAAATTTTGAATTTGATACCAAGTTTGATGAACCGTTGGAGATGGTCTTAGATGATTAGAATGAGAATTGTGATGTGCCTTCCCAACTGGACCCTTTTGTCTATTTTGTGAATTGGAGAAAACTCCCTTTCCAATTTTAAAATTACGATTGTAAAAGACATAATGAATTGAACTAAATTAATACCATATGAAAAATTAAAAGATAAAATTAATATAGTTGAAAGATAAATTGATACATGGACTACTGTATTGGTTTTGTGAGGAAGAAAAAAAAAAAAAAGAATTTAAGAAGAAAATTAAGGGTATAAATAGGATAATGAGGAAATTCTAATTTTTATTCATTTGTGTTATTTAATACAACAATGATTCATCCCCTTTTCCTCCCACTCCCTTTGACCCCCTCTCTCTCTCATTGGTTACATTTTCTTTTTCTTTTTCTTTTTTTTTCTACTCCTCCAATCATCACCTGCCACATGACAAAGGGGGTGAGGGGTGACCCTCAAAAGGGGTCCAAGCATTATTCTATTTAATAAGGGTAATGCTAGAGTGAGGAAATTAAGGGTATAAATAGGATAATGAGGAAATTAAGGGTATAAATAGGATAATGAGGAAATTAAGGGTATAAATAGGATAATGAGGAAATTCTAATTTTTATTCATTTGTGTTATTTAACAAGGGTAATGCTAGAGAGAGAGACAGAGAGAATCTAAAGCCGTGGGTGTAAAGTAGTATAGGAAGAGTTTTGTTTGCAACTGTGGGTTCAAGGAAATAAAAGACAAAGAAACGTACCATCACAAACACGACTATTTCAAATTTAGATTCTCTTTCTCATTCTCATTCTTGCTCTGGAATGTATGTGCAATATTTTTGTTATATAAAAAAAAAAATTGTGATGATAAAATTTTAAAAATATCGTTAATGAAAATGAGATGAAGTAAAGTTTTTGTTCAAAAAATAATACTTCTTTACTAAATATTTAATTTCATTGATAAAAATATAATAATGATATTTTTAGTAACAAAAAATTTTATATTTAAAAAATAATTTTATTTTAAAATTTTTATCTTTAAACCGTGATAGAAGATAGACAGTGTGCATATTTCTTACTATATTTAATAGAACCATAGTATTAGTAAATACACTTACTATTTCTTGATGACGATCATTTGTTATGCTATGCTTGTTTGGTTTTATTTTAGTTTTTCAAAAATTTTCTTCAAATCAGTTTTAGAAACAATAAATGAAGACAAAACATAAAAAACAAATTTATAGTCAAATACATCCACATAAACAAAATACAAACGCTCACAAGAAACACGTCTGTGGGATCCATATACATATTTGTTGATATATCCGTGAAGAGTTATGTCAGAGATTTCAAATAAATTATTAAATTTTTTACTAAATCTCACACATGGATGTGAGACCTATACACATGTAATTTGTGTGGGTTCCATGTCCAATCTCATGTGAGAGGTTTGGCAAAAAATTAGATAATTTATTTAGGATCCATAGCATATTCTATCTGTGAAAGCTAAAAAAATTATTTAGTAGTTCTGAAATAAATTCACTTAATATTTATTGGTTAAATTATTGTTATTCTCAATACTTTTTTTATTAAGTTTTTCATAAATATTAAGTGATAAATAACGTGAAGTATTGTTCAAAGACCATTAAATAACCTCTCCAAAAAATTGATGTACTGTTTATCTAACTAATACTATTACAAAAAAGAAATTAAGCGAAAAAAATAGAAGTGTTAGGTTGAGTTAATCATTTGAATTGTATAAATTGTTTCATAAATCATAAAGTTTTGTACTTTTTTTTTTTTGGATCAAAATTTTGTAATTTTTCTTGATGTTGTCTTTTTTGTCCTTTACCGTCCAAGGTGTCTTATTTGGGTTATATGATTGAAAACACACATCAAAGTTAAGAAATTTATTTATAAAAAAGATAGTGATGTTTATATATAAGGAAATTTTAATATATATCTTTAAAAAATATATATATATTATATATATTTTTATTTATGTTATTTTTTTAATTATGATTATGACATTATTTTAATTATAACTTATAAATTTTTTAATTATATCTCATATTGTATTTAATTATGATATTTTTTTATAATTCTGATTCAAAAAATTAAAATTATATATATATAATTAAAATATATATGATGCATTCTTTGAGAAAGGTACACTATAGTGTTTGCGGTCGTACATCCTCTTTATGATAAGCAATTCTACTTTCTATCCCCCACTCAAGGAGTTACACAACGGGGTCCCTCTTTTCCCTTGTCTCTTTGTTCTTTGTCTCCATCAACTCTCTTGTGACCTCTTAACTGCTTCTGACTCTCTTCTTATTCACCCTATTCGGATTGCTAAAGGAGGCCTAGGCATATCGCTTCTTTTTTTTACCGATGATATTCTCCTTTTTTGCCGTGCCACGGTCAAAAATTGTACTCATCTCCCAATTACCTTATCCTCCTCCTGTCAACAACTGTACTCATCTCTCAACTACCAAATTCAAATTATTTTTCTCCTCCTAACACTGAAGATTGGTTTGACAAGTTTTAAAAAAAGTTAAAAAGTCAAAAAGTCATTATCCTATTTAACTCATATCATCTTATTTAACTCACATCACATTTCTAACACATTACTTCAAATCCAATCCGTATTTCATAAAAAGTCAAAAAGTACACTTATTTAGATCATCCCAAACAACCCGTAACACAACTTTGTGCCAAGCCATCATCTCGCTCATCGGCATCCAATCCACCTCAAAACTTGGTATCTATTTGGGTGTTCCTCTTTCCCATGGCCATAACACTACTACAGATTTTCAACCAATTTTTAGATAAAATTAACAATTGTTTTTCAGGTTGGAAACCACACATGCTCTCTCTATTCCTGCATATGCCATGCAAACTCATATCCTTCCCATGCCGGTTTGCACCACCATCGATTGCAAAATTGGTTCTTTTCTTTGGAACAACACTCCCATATAGGATTATGCAAAATACTATCAAATTCGTTAAAATCGCACCGATGCACATCAATCTGCATTGCTCTATCTATATTAATCAGCATTGCTCTATCTACTAACCGCGGTTTAAATTTTAAAATTTATAATCATTATTCGAAACTCTACCACTCCACTATAGTTAATACATATATATATTTTTTAACCTATAATGAAATGTCAAAGTAAAAATGAATGTAAAAGAGATTTAAAATGTAAAATTTATTACAAATTAATAGTTATATATATGAAAAATATTGTGTAAAATTAGTTTGTGTTATATATATAAAAAATATTATGCAAAAACTTGATAATTGATTAGAATATTCTTCAATCCGTTAATTTGCTCAAAACCACTCAAATCGTAATTTGCCAATCCACCAATCAGCTAATCCGCTATTCAATTTATAATTTTACTTTCAAACCACTTGAACTGAACTACACTATGTACACCCCTATTCCCACACACAAAAAATGACACACTATCTCTTGGGTAACTATCACTTTGCCAAAAAACATGAGTGGAATTGGTATTCGTGCATCTTGCAAACATAATTAAGCCCATTTCTTACACCTAGCTTGGAGACTCTGCTCTAACCCTTGCACTCTTTGGACCTAAATCCTAAAATCTAAATATTTCCCTTCCACTACCTTTCAACATGCAATAGCTCATCCTTACCATAGTTGTTAATGGAAAAATATTATCAAGGCTAGGAATACCGTTCTTACAACAATTCAATGGCAACTTCACCGAAACTTTGCCAAATCTTTTTGGTATGATAAATGGCTCTCCTTTGGCACTCTTTGCCAGTTTGTTATTGCACATTTGCCTGAACCATGGGAAACACTTCATCTATCTGATGTTATCTCTTCTATTGGTAAATGACAACTTGAACCTTTCATCCATTCAATACCAATCACATCATACAGATTATTCGTGGAAACCATATTTCCATCTCCACATATCTTGCAAAAGATACTCCCCTATAGCCTTCACACTCTGGCCATTATACCTTAAATCAGCTTACAATCATTTCCTCTCCATCGATTCTCTTCTTTTCTAGAATTGGTTATGGAAGAATAAATGTCCTCCTAAACTCAACTTTTTTCTATGGCGTTGCACTCATAATCGACTTCTAGTTTCTTCTTCTCACACTGCCCAACCTATTCCTCCCTGCCATAGATGTAAAATGGTCTTTGGGTTACTAGATGCCTTCACCGATACTGAAAAAAGGTAATAAAATCTTATA